ATACATCAGAGTACCTATGTCAGGGTTCTCAATTTCTTGAGACAAGAATAAAAGCAAAGGAATTAAACTAACAAAACCCAGTAAGCCGAAACGTTGGGAGTTCAGGAGTTCTTCATTGTTAAACATGTTCTGTTCTCTCTGATTCTGAAGAAAAACCACCATTCTTTTGGAGTTTGTCTAAGCCCTTGTATCATTCTTGTTCCTTTTTGCAGGAAAGGTACTTGATAACGTTGCCCAAATATTTCTGATTCATACAATCCAGAATTTTAGCTTGTTATTAAATGCATTTCTCATTTTTAATAAGTAAAAGCAAACAATTTAACTGTTTTCCTTTTTTTTATTTGAGACACTTAGCAAAAATGCTGAAATATCAAACATTTCCTCAGTAGCTACAATATTGCCACTATGTACAAAATATCTGATAAATGTACTACACATATAAAAATACAATATGCCTTAATATATATACAGTACAATGTGCAAAACATATGGCATTCAAACGTATGGAATTGATTTTAGGACTGCAAACAACAAATACAAAGGCATCATGGTTTCTTATAGAAAGGCAAAACATAAACGGACGCCCTGATTGCCATAATTTGCATTTAGTAAAGTAGTGCTTAAATGAAGAGGGCCCTAGGAAGAGGTGTCCATCTTCTTCTTTTCACGAAATGAGATGCTAAGACATAGTAATGGCTATGAAAATAAGAAGAGCAACACCTACGAGGTTAGCGTCATTTCTACTGCAAGCAGTACTGTGGAAGAAATATCTGGAAAAAAGCCTGTGCTACTAATACAAATTTCTCAATCAACAAAACAAATCTGTCCTCTTAAACATCAAAATCTGCTTTGAAAATATCTACATCCTTAATTTTAAAAAAGTATGGGTAATTCTTCTGGGGATTTACTTTCCTATGCTTCAAAGTACAAAGTGCCTTCTTTGGCAATACAAATGGCAATGCTTTGGTTCCTTTTTACATTTTTATATTACTATAATTTATTTGAGGCTGTTTTTGAATATCTGAGCTGTACTTTCTATAAAAATAGTGTGATTGTATAGTTGTTAACCATTCCCTGCTTTTTACTGAGATTTCACTCTCAGAGCTTGAATAGCTTTTTTTTTTGGCTAGAATTCTACATATGTATTTATGCATTCTGAACCTAAAAGTCTATATATTCAGACACTACAGAATGACACAGGTGTCTCTTTTCTGCATGTTATTCATCACAATAGAAGGAATACTTGAGATTATTTCAGGTTCAGATTTTAAAGGATGCTCCTTATTGGCCACATATATACTATGTGCAACTCAGTTCCATGTCTCTCTCAAAAGAAAACCTCTATTATGGCCTAGAAATCATCAGAAAGCAATTTAATAGGCCACAACAAAAAAAATTTAACAAAATATTCAGTAGATATAGAGTGGAAGAATATTTTTTTCCAGTTTTAATGTAATTTGCTTTAAACTTATAATACACTGAAGATGCCATCCAAATGACTGTATACATCAGTGAGCTTTACTGTGTTTTCTTTACATAATGTCCTTCCAGTTAATTATATTCTTTGACTGCATTTTCTCTGCCTTGAGAACAGTTCAGCAGCTTGTGCCTGGTTTCCAGCTATGGTGCCTATGCTTTTCAGGCATCAGAATGTTTAAGATTACGTAACAGAGAAGTTTAATATTGAAACATCTGCTTTGATTATTTGCTTCCTTGAAGATAACTCCTGCTAGTCAATTTAGAGATGCCTTGAAAAGAAATGTCTGTATTAAACTGTGATTGCTTCTAATGTTGCCTCAGCTTTTTAATGGGCTGGTTTTGCAAGGCTCTCATTGCTGGATTAGAAGCTACAATTCTGTAAAGAGCAGTTGAACAAACGGATGGTTTTTTTTTAAAGATACAACTGCTAAGTTTATGACAATGACTTGCTAACTGTTTGTAACACTGAATAAAATTTGCCTGTAAACTTACTTGTCTTACATAATGCTGTATGGCACCACAAGTGCATTAACAAATACCGGTTACTACATGCAGGATGTGACTCCTCTTGATTAATACCAGCCCTGTAAAACACACCTGAGCTCCTTCCGTGTCTAGAATTGTGAACACCAACTTTTGAATTTCACACTGTTAAATGGTATTCCTAATTACTCTGTCAGAATTTAGTAACGCGGCTGCAGTAGGATGTTCTGTTAGCATATTGCAGCCACTGCCTGGCAAATCTACTGCCAGGGCTTTCCTCTGCAACTGTTCTAATGAGAAACATTCAGTTCTGGACAGTCAAACTGCGCAGTCATGACTAAATCTCTCAGATGTGTTGTATCTGTGTAAGAAAAATGACAATGCAAAACATGCACACGCACAAATCTAAGCAAAATCTATTTCTGCCATAACTGTGTATGTAACGGTGGCAAATATAAATCACATTTCAGTACAAGGGCTGTAGCAATCCATCATATATAAGGTTTAATACAGATAACCCTCAAATGTACAAAAAAAGTAATCACACATCCCCCACACCAGAATATCTGCACTTTGAAAACTAAAGTGATCCCTTAACTTTTTTTTTCTTTTTATGTTTTTCCCCAAATAGACTTTTAGAGCAGAAAGCCATACTGTACTGCAGACAACACATCTCAGCTGTTTGGTTTTATTTCTGCACATAGATTCCTATGGAGTAATTAACATTCTACACTGCCAATGAGGATAGTTTTGTAGCAAGATGACTTTGCCAGTTTAAGCATATTTACATGCATATCAAAAATGACAGTACAGTCGTTCTAGGTTAATTTATTCTCTAACAATTAATTCACTTGCCTCTTATTTAATCGGAAGGCAGGGTCAGAAGGGGTAATTGTAACCACGTGTTTGTGGTTCAGTGTGTGATGCAGCACACACTACGCTGACGGTACTGTAGGACTACATAAATTCCATTCAGAGTTGTTCCTGTCAGACCAGGAGTCTTAATTCTTGTTCCAGTAACAGCTGAGGGCACTTTGTATCTCAGAGTATCAGCTCCCAAGATAATACGATGAAAAGGAATGCAAAAACTGAATGTTCTCAGTGTTATTTAAGAGTCGTAGAGCATCAACATTTAAGGCAGACAGTCCACACACGACGTTGTACTCGAGTACAGGAGGCACAGCAAGAAAGAATAAAGAATTGTCTTTCAGCTTCTGTTGTGAAAATGTTGATAGACAGTTCTTCTGTTCTTGATTTCAGATTAAGTAAACCCTGACCTGTAAAACTACTGAAAGTAGATAACGATCTAAAGTGCTGATAGCTGATATGATGCCAGTTTAAACCCCAAATCAATAATATAATCCAGTATTTCACCTGAAGCCAATGGAATTCTGCACTTGATATCTGGAAATGTGGAATTTACAGATAATTCTACAACATTTTATGACAAGAGTATTTGATTTGATATTGACATGATTATTTCTTTAACTTTTCAAACATGATTCAAGTTGCTAAGTGGTGAATGGGTACTTTTTGTTTTGCTACTTAAGCTTCACACCATTTTTAATTTAGTTCCAACAGATTTTGTTTTTGAAGGTTGGCGGAGGAAGGAATTCTGAAATAAGATCAGTTCTCAGACTAGAAAACATATCACCTTTTCACTGTTCAAGAAAGAAGGGACTGCTTTCTTTTGTTGTAATTTAGAAACACACTTATGTGGAAAAATTCCTATTTGGTTTATCAGCCTGCCTCCTCCATAACAACATTTAACAGCTATCATGGGAAACACTACTGTAGAATGTCCGAGTATCTTCCTTAATGCTGTAGCATTTTTTTGTTTGCTTTTCCTGACTTTACATAACAGGCTCTGAGAAACAACTCATGGCTTTAAAACTTTTCACGCGCTGCATTGTGCAGCAAGAGTTTAATTCTGTTATCTGTTCTTACCACAGAACAGTATATCCTGATCGTTTGCCTTTTATAGTTTTCTGTGTGTACTGTTTAGAATTCTTACTGAGCCTGTTTAGATTCCCTGACGTCGTGTAGTGGCAGACGGAGTTGTTCAAGAGCTGACAGTATTGTTCAGGAAATGATCACTGTCCTGTCAGTATTGTCCCCTGCAACTCGATCCTACAAACACCTTTTGCTGGGGCACTGGCACTGCTCCTGCATAGATGTTTGCAGGATCATAGAGCATAACAGCTCATTTAAACTTTGCTGCTTCCTCAAAATGTTCTAAGATGCTGAGATACTGTGTTCACTGAACTAAAAATATCCTCAATGACAAATTAAGATACTATTTTCATTACTGTAATTACTTCAGAGCACTGTTCCCCTCTGTTCACAAAAATAATCATACAAAGTTTAAAAGAGTATACGAATAACTGTCTGATATACACATTAAAACCGAGCTATTAAATCCAGAGCATTTAATAGAAAATTCAGTGTTCTCAGTATTACTTGGCCTAGCTACAGTGGATTTCTTGCAGTTACGCTTAATATCCCTTTGGATGCAGTTAAATTCTTCCCTCATGATCAAAGAATGGGGAAGAGTTTTAAAAGCCACAAAACCAAAATATAAAAACAACTCAAACAAATTAAAAGTCTAGATTTATGAAATTTCACTGAACCAGCCAGTGTTTCTACTTGCCTTTGCCCTCACAATTCAATTTGAACCTGGCTCAGGCTATCCACAGGAACAATGAAGTGCAGTGATATCTCAACCTCCCTCAAACAACATTTGCTCGCTGTGTCAATACAGACAGTTCAAATCTCTCCTATGTTTTCTTCTCTAAGATGAGCCATGCTGTGTTGTTCATGTAAGCATTAAAAAATCAGAGACATAACTTCCTTCTTATATATTTGGGATGCATTTCCCTTGTCGTGCTTTGAAACACTAAGTACAATCATCCTTTCTTGACTTGTGAAATACAGCTTTCAGAGAGCCCTGATCTGCATTAATGGCATGAGCATGGAGTAATTCACTGTTGTAAACTAGGACATCAATAAGGAATTACCTTCAAGCATTTGATCTTACAGACATTTCTATTGTAATTTATTTTAACTGCAATCAGAATAGTGTAATAGGATCTCTACAGTAAAAAGAGATTTCCAGGTCATTTTCTTATTGGCTACAGCTTAATCCCAGTGCAACTGTAGGTCCTGTGTATCTAGGAAGTCAGTGGAGAACACGCTGGGGGCAGCAGAGTTGAGAGGAGTGAGTCCAGATGAGGAGCTGGGCATTGTGATGTCCAGCCATTCCATATTGTCTAAATTTGTGTCAGGAAGGTCAAGAGATAGACAAGAACTATTAGTGGTAAACTGGGGGTCAGACGTTTCCATGGGTGAATGGGAGTGATCTAAAATGCTGGAGTGATTAAGCAGATCATTCTGGAGGTCTTCAATTAAAGAAAACGACTCTCTGTCCTCGTTACTGCTTGTCAATTGAGGAATTTCATTACCTGAAGGTAAAGTTCCATCCAGGAGGGCTTCAAGTTGGTTTTCCAGACTTATAGACAAGCTGGTTGTTGGTTCCAAGGACACAGGAGGAGGGGCCATTTGGATCTGTGGTGGTGGGCGGGATATCACTGTATTTACTGGCATTGTAGTGATGTTGGCTGTTACTGGTCTCATTTTAGAAATGGGAGATGGTTCTTCCTTTATTGGAAGGGAAATCTCTGCATTAACAACAGTAAAACAAAACAAACAACAAACACGAATTCAGAAAAGACAGTGACATGTCTTCAGGCTTACAAGTACCTTTTTTGCCCACTCACTCTGAAGATGTGCCTACAATGAACTTCAATGGAGTAAGACATACATCAGACTAAGTGTGTCAGATACTCTGTGAACAACAAAAAATGTTAAATTCCAGAGTTCTGCTTTCAATAATACTTTAATTCTTTCTTTGATTACAATGTTGTTTTTATTACCAGCTTTAATTCTCACATCAGCTCCTTCTTGGCTTACCTCCACTTTTGATGAGAATATCAAAAAGATCATCCATCTGCTGGCTGTGTGCGCTGGAAATCTGTGATACATGAGAAAAGTGTTATTCTTTTTCACGCAGTGTTACATTCCTAAGCTGACTGAGATCCTTGCTTCTCTGAATAGTAGCAAGGTACTAACCTATGATCAGGGTTAAAATTCTTCATGTGAAATTGTCTGTCTAGAAAATAAGAGTTTGGAGAGACATCTATAATCTGTCCCATTGGTTTGAGTCCAAAGTATTGGGAAAAAAATATGAAAAGAAAGAGAGGTTTTATTGAAAAGTGGGGATAAGGAAAATAGCTATACTCCTGCAGCAGGAAAATACTTGGAAGAGCAGCTGGACTACAAGGCTGTACCCCCTGCTTTCTTCCAGAGACAACTTGTGAATAGTCACCACACAAGATGTGTGCATATATATATTTTTTTCCACTGGTTGTAGATTCATGTTTTTCTTTTTAAGAGTGGAGAGATAAGTGTTAATTAACTCTTTGTTTACCTGTTTTAAACACTCATCTCCTGAATGCCTGAACCTTAAGCAAAAGACAGACAAAGTCCCATAGACACTCTCAAGCTTAGGCAAAGTAGAGACTTGTTTGAAGGTCTCAGAACCAAAGCTGTGTTTTAAAACATTGGTTATACTCCAGAGAGTGAAAGCAGCTTGTCTTCAGGAAATGTGGGATCTGAAAAAGGGCCAGCGGGGAGACGCGCTGCTGGCTGGTAGTGATGTGGTCACTTATCAAGCTTAGTTCAATTACCAGGTTAATGGAACTTGAGAAGCCCAAACAATTTAGAGCTCTGGGTTTCTTTAACAATTGTTGGAAGAAAAAAAAACAAGTAAAACCTATATACAGAACACCTGATATGTTCAATATATCTTCATTTTATTTTACCATTAGTTGGACATTGATGACACATTCTAACCACTGAGATGAGGGAAATACATGGAGAAGTCAGAGGAAGATGTGGGGGGATAAATAATACAACAAAGTTTCCATGTTTACACAAAACATCTTTTTCAAGAGTTAGGGAGGGATTCAACTGCCTGTAGGCAAGCACAGAATCACAGAATGGCCAGGATTGGAAGGGACCTCAAGGACCATGAATCTCCAGCCCCCTGCCACATGCAGGGCCACCAACCTCCACATTTAATACCAGACCAGGCTGCCCAGGGTCCCATCCAACCTGGCCTTGAACACCTCCAGGGACGGGGCATCCACAGCACCTCACCACTCTCATAGTAAAGAACTTAAAGCACCTAAGCATCTAATTGCTGTTTAAGATTGCCACACCTGCTTCTCCAGGGGGAATGGCACTCTAGTATGTCTGATGTCATACGTGCCTTCATTGTGAGCATGTCTTAGACACGCCAAGAACATAAGAAATGCAGTTAGATACCCGTGCTTCTGAGTGCTTCCCTCCACAAAGACAGCACTCAATGCTAAGTCAGAGTTGTCTCTTTTGGAATGGTTCTAGAACAAACGAAGTTAGAAGCGTTCATTAGATTTCTTTACAACTTCCTTCCACTATGAAGAACATATGATAAATGAACAATACAGCCTGCTGGATTAATCACCAAGCTCACCAAACAGAGCCTCCTTTCAAAGAAACGTGTGCTCAAGTATATATATGTTTGCCTATATGCACATAAATGCACGCATTTTCCTCAAGTTTCCTCACTTTGGAAAGAATCAACACACTTTCTTTCAGTCTGAAACAACTGCAGTTATTGTTAAGCAGTAACAGCAGCATCATCCCACCTGTATGTTTCACCAGCTGGTGAATCTAGTTATGTGTCTGTTAATTTAATCAAAAGGAACAAGAGGAGTCCTGCATTTAGGAAATATTAATGGAGTACATTAGAAAATCTTTACACCAAAGAAAAACTACTCTAAGCAATGACTTTTATAGTTCTAAAAAGTGTAGAATGTCTTTCAAGGACTGAACAAGTACAAATAACTACCTCACGGTGAGATGTCTGAATATTGCGGGTCTGTTTTATGGCCTCTTCATAACGGGGGGGGTCTTTTGTCTTGGATGCTGTGCTGTTGAAGAGCGACTGCTGAACAATATAAGACTGGGCTTGAGATGGGGAGCCAGGCTGTGTGAAATAACAAAATAATGACTAAACAACACATTTCAATCTCATTAAAATGTATCAAGGTCCACAGATTATCTTGTTCTGTCATACCAACCTATGCATTTACAACAGTACAATCAGAGGAATAAAATCAAGCTTTTCTCACACAGATATACACTAATGCACTTCTTTCTTGAGAAAATTGCAATATAGCCACCTGTTTTTTAAGAACAATAAAATAAAAGAGAACTTTATGGAGTACGGTTGGGCTATTCTTACCTTATTAGGAGGAACAGGTCCATTCTGCACAGAGGGAGTCTGATTATTACCACTGCGAATGTTAGAGTTTGATGTTTTGTTAATAAAAGATTGTGAAGGTGTTGTAACTGGTGCAGTCTGATAGGAAAACACTGTAGTTGATGTGGTAGGTGGAAAAACCTGTAAAGGTTTAAGATATCAGTCTTAATATTTCAGTGTTTAAATTACTCCAACTAGCTAAATGACATTAAAAAGTTTAAAGCGTTTTTTTTTTTTAAGTACTTGCTTAAATTTCCTGTTAAGGGAATGTTACTTGTACCTGTTTTTCGCTCTGGTGGATTAATTTGCAAAGCTAAAGCTAATACACTTTGAAAGAAACTGTTTCTTTGACATGCTTTCATTCACTCCAGATAAATATGACATCTCCTTGCAACTTTCCAAGAAGCACAATACTGTATAATTGAATTTTTCTGAAATACATTCAAGAGTATGGAACAGTTTAATACAGTATGTGTAATTTCCCTACCGAGTGGGCAGTCAACAAAATGAACTAATTTCTGGCATTACCTAAACGCCTCTCGAACACTGACAGCATGCGGCATCGACCACCTCTCCCTCTTGGAAACCTGCCTCAGTGTCTGACCACCCTCACGCCTGGGCATTTTTCCTTCTCTCCAGTCTGACCCTCCCCAGGTGCCGCTCTGTGCCGTTCCCTCATGTTCTATCACTGGTTCACAGGGAGAGGAGAGCGGTGCTTCTCTCTGCACTTCCCCTCCTCTGGAAGTTGCGGAGACCAATGAGTTTCACCTGTCAGCCTCTGCTCACAGGACGTGCCCTGCAGCCCTTTTGTATGAGGCAATCTGTGTGCATAAGGCTGCTCTTTTTAATTCAGCATCACACAGATACCTTAATGACAAAAGTGAGAGAAAATCATAGGTAAGGGATAGAGATAAAGCTAGGATAAGGTTTGTGGAGTAGAGTTTTAACACCATAAGTGGTCTGCTGTGAGAGGGATTAATGCAGTTTGTTAGCCATACAGATCATCTGTGTGAAAACTGCTGTATTTTCCAGCTGTCTACAGCTAAGCTGAACAGCTGTGGAGATGTTTCCTTGATAATGAATGAATTGAAGAACAAGGGCTATTTGTGAGATGGTATGCAAAGAGACACCTCAAGTGTGTAGCAGAAAGTAGATGCAATCATCAGCTGGTTTGCATATAAATCTGAGCTCCCTGAGAAAGTCTGGAAGGATTCAAGAGAAACTAGTTCTGGAAAACAACTATTAATGGAGATTATCATTATTAGGAAGGCTAACTTCATTAAAAAGCATTAATAAACAGTGTTACTGACAGTTCACTAGCTGTAATGGCTCAATATGCCTGCTGAAAGATAAGGCTCATGAATGCAAACAGGAGACAGGTAGAACTAATGCTGAATGCATGAAGGCTGTTCTGATCTATTGTACTGCATTAGCGTTTTACATTCTGATGTTAAAAAAAGAAATGTAATTGCACTGGCAGTTTTCTTATGTAAAAGATGGTAGTAGATGTGAGAAAAAACCAGCTGGGATAAGAGCAGGCTGCTCAGCTCCAGGGCAGCCACATGTAGAGTGAAGGTTATCTCCTGCCATAATTTCTGGAACCCCTTGACAGATAAGGAAGCAAACTGCAAACTTCTGGCATGAGTACATGCCTAAGGATGACTGGAAAATTTCTGTATGGGGACTATCCAATTAACAAGATTAGCCCCATAGCAAATCCCAGCAGTTTTGGCTTCAGTAGGATAACCTTAATGCCCATGAAGTTAAACAGCTTGAACAGGCAACTTGGAGAGTGATGATGCTCATTTGGTCATGTTCCCCTTTACACTGCTGAGCTGTCTAGAGAGAGATTGGCAGTTACCTAACTTACCAAAATTATCCTTTCATTTTGAAATTATTCCTAAATTATCCTTTCCGTGGGGCAAACTGGAAAACCTTGTTTTCCTAAGTCACTGGAACCTTAGAGAACACAGCACTGATAAAGAAGCAAAACCAATCTCTTAGCTCCTGGATGAGGCTCAAAGAAGAAAGCCCTTTCTTGTGAGTGTTAGTGCTGTTATCAGTCACTGAGTGAACATGACTGGGTTCTGCATCCAGTGCTGATGCACATCTGTTTTGGAATGAGAAATTTCAGAACTGACAGTTTTGTGTACAGAGGAAGAGGATCTCTGTGTCATTCCTCGCATTCCTCAGTAAGAGAATTATCCAAGGTGTGGTATGGTTTTGCCTCTTTGGAACTCCTGTTCCCAGTATTTTGAGTCTATAGCTTTCTTCATCAGTAAGGATGAATCAAAGGAAGTGGGGGCACTGAAAGGAACTCCCAGGAATGCATGAATATCTGTAGTCATACATAAAAGCTTTCTCTGAAGAAGAAATGCCTACAAGAATCTTTGATTTTGAGATGGTGACAAACAGGAGAAATTGACTGGAATAGCTGGTATACCACTTGTGGCACGCATGAGAAAGAATGGAGTGTGTGTTATAAGAGTCATCAAGAAAAAAAAACAGTCTTTAGCCTTCCATGCTTATTTGCAGCTGAAAAATAGTCCTGCATGGACTAAAATGTTGGAAAGAGAATGAGTTACTAGCCCATTTATCCCATACAAAGATGTACAGAGATGTTAAGAACCTGTATATTATGACACATATGACAAAAGCTTGTGAAATTGCTGCCTAGAATTAGAATACATGATAGTACATCTCTTAATGCTCACTGCTATCCACAAACCTTTCTGATTTGTTGGGTCTGACCAAGTGCGTGCTGCGTGATGGTGTTTTGTTTTGATTGTGGAGTATGCGTCTTAGCTGCTGTCTGGACCGGGCCAGAGGAAGGAATAGGAGCAGGTATTTGTGATGGGGTCTGTATTCCAGCTTGTGATTGAGCCTAAAAGATGAAGATAAAATATTTACATTATTCGTATCTCACAGTAAATTACACTATGTAAAAATCTGTTGCATAGGTTACACAGAGTAGCTATAGCATGTATTCCAAGAGGTATCAATGTGAGCCATGAACAGGAAAGAATAATTTTATTCTCTCTGGTACTGGTAGGCTCCAGCTGTACAGTGCCGTTTATTTTGGCACCGCGGTTTAAGAATGCTGAACACAAACTAGAGAGGACCCAGTAGAGAGCAATGAAAATAGCAGAAGATAAAGAGAGCATGACCAGTAAGAGATGGAAAAAACTGGATTTTAGCAACCTTGAAGAGAAAACTGATGTAGCAACATGATAAGATTTCTAGCATGTAAAAAAAAGCTGTTTTAAGAATATCACTGCAGTTTTTACACTAATAAGTTGCATCTAACCCCAGAAAAGATAGTTTGAGTTGGAAGTTAAGAAAACTTCCTGCAGTATCAATGAAGTGAAATACCAGAAAAAGCTGCTTGAGGTTTTCGCAGAATTCTATCAGGATTCCAGAACAATTTAGACAAAGATCTGTGTGCGTGGGTAGCTACCAGCATAGCTCTTACACTGCAGATTGTAGGCTCCAATCCCCTCACAACCGTCCTCATAAGGGCTACTAAATATGACTGCACACACACTAGCACCAAAGCCCAAACCCATAATATGCCACAACATCAAGCACACGCTGGAACTGAAACAGTGCTTTGCTGGCTTTGTAACCATGAGAGTGGTGGGTGATTTCATCCAGCTAGCAAGCAATAGCAGTGCCCTGGGAGGTGTATGTTTGATTCTACCACAGATCGAGACGATATTCAACCTGGTCAGATTTCTCTTGCAGCTCTACATTTATATCCTATTCTGCTTTATGCTGCATTAATTCAGTGATATGACCTTATTATCAGCCTGGAAATATTATTTGCATAAATATGGTTTCTTTTTTTAACTCCTCTGGAGTGCTGCAACCTAGTGTTCATATTTTTAAATGTAATAAGCCACCAGAACACAATGAAATTTGAATATGTATTTTTAAAGCAGGTATACCTTGAAATAAAATGCTGGGTTTTAGGCTGATGTGGGTTTTGGTTTTTTTTTTTTTTTTTGTTTGTTTGTTTTGTTTTGTCTGGTTGGTTTTTTTTTGAGCTACAGGGGTGGAATTTGTTATTTCATACTACATACCTAAAACAACTGTGCACAGAAGGAATACATAGTAAAACAACTACTGTTCACAAGAAAGAGTCTGGGAAGTCAAAACTGTTTTCAAGATCACAAAGAAAACAACTCCTAGAAGATATAAGCAGGTTGGCTCTTAATGAGTTTCTGATCTTTTCTCTAAAGCAAAAACAAGCCTAATTTTTACCAGTTAATCTTATAAGCAATACATTTATTAATCTACATTAAGTTAAGCAAATATTGACATGTTTTTATGGTGGAAAATGAAACATCCATACCTGTAACTTTATATTTCCAACTGGTAGCTGCACCGAAGTGGCAGAATTCGGTCCCTGGATAGATAGTGGAAGGAGCAGCTGTGTTCCTTGTGTCGTCAGTAAAGCTTGAGGTTGGGCAACAACTGCAGTTTGTGGTTGCCTCTGTGGATTAACATAAAATTGAGAAATCGCACTCTGAGGGTCAGCTTTGGCCACAGGTATCTCCTGTTTGATGATAACTGCCTTTTGGGCAACTGGATTCTGTCCAGTGGTGTATACTGGTTGTCCTAAAGGATGACTAGCTACAGATACAGATTGACTTGTGCTTGAGCAGTCAGTAAGAGCATTTTCATCTTTGACAGCAGCACTGAATTGCTTCTGTTCCAAAGCAGCTGAGTTACCAGAAGTCTGAGACTGTTGCTGCTGTCCCCTTTTTTCAACCTCAAGTTGCATTTTCAGTACTTCCACAAGTTTCTGCTCTTGTTCCAGTTTCCTTTTGAGCTCTTCAATCTGTTTTTCTTTTTCTTGAAGCTTGCGGTCCTTTTCTGCTACATCAAATTCCATGCTTGAGATTTTTCCACTGCTCCGATTCTGATTATCATCACTTGTATTTGTTCTTAGTGGCGAAGTACTTAAGAACTGAGATGGTGACACCATGGTCATCATTTCTGTGAAAGTGTCTGCCATACCAGTATCATCTGTGCTTAGATTAGATTGTTCTGAAGGGGAGGGAGATACAGGCAAGGGAGAGCTAACGTTCTCAGTATTTATTGCTTTGCAGCCAGGTCCAGTAGCTGTTTTTTCCAGAGGAAAGCTGGATATGGTATTAGCCACCGTTTTATTTAGTGTTGCAACAGGAAATGCCACAGCCATTTCCCCTGTGTTACCTGTGGCTCCAGTAGAAGTAGTGACTGTAGCAGAGCTGCAAGTAGTGACTCCGTTGTTATTGAGATCTTGGTAGGGTTTCAGACGCTCAATAAGATCTGTTTTTGTTCCAGACACAGGTAATCCTCTCAACTTCAACTCCATTTTAAGCTCTGCTACCTGAGATAAAGTAAAGTATGATAGTAAACAAAAAAAAACCCCCACCTTATTTATTATTTTTTTGAAATAAATAATTTTCTTTGAAGCAAAAAATAAATATATATTTTACCTCGTTACATTTCAGTAAGAAAAAATATTTTTCAACATATTCTCTGGTTATTTACTTCTCTGGGTTCTAAGAGCATGCAAGCATGCAGAATCCATGAGTACCTTTCCATTACCAGCAACTTACTTTCACTGGTTAAATGGCCAAAACCTTTGGAGTGTTCAGCTGCCGCTGAATAATTGTGGAGTTACAATTAATTTTCATACTTACTAAAAATTTGAAACTGAAAGTACAGTTTCAATTGTGGGGTAAAATCTTCTGAAGAAAAGCTGTAGAATGTGGCAACAGTGCAAATAAAAGCTCTGACTACTGGCATGCTGAACTCGTTGTTATGTTACCAAGACAGACAGGTGTGTTTTATCAGAAATTTATCAGGTAATTTAGATGGTTCAGTGGACACATCAAAAAACAGAAGGCTCTTTTTCTAATTATCAATTGAAAAATTACAGCTATGTGCCATTTGGATTTCCTTCACAAGTATAAAAAGTATAAGCAGTCAAAATCGATCTAACTTTTGCTAAAAAAAGTGTCCTCAGCTTCCAGTATGCTTACTGACAAAGTAGAGTGCAAATGTGGTGAGTGTAAATTAATTATGTGCTGCAGATTATCAGTTAAAAAAGAACAGTCACTGGCGTTTATGGTAATGTGCAAACCATCTAATCGTACTTCGGTACTTTGCTGGTGTAGAATTTTCAAGTGTAAGTCTTCACGATTAGTAAATGACACGAAGTCATGGAAATCCATACACACTGCAAATTTCTAAGAACTGCAGCAATTTTAACTAACTGTCCTCCTGACAATTAGCCCTTCCTCTTGCCCCAATCCATTCCCCTCTGGTATCCCTGGCACACTTAAGCAAGTGTAACATTTCAAGATTTTCAACAGCACTTTTCTTAATTCTTATCAGAACCAATGTAGATGATTCAGTGTTGAAAACATCACCAGCAGGTAGAGCTCATATTATCACAGCAGTGTGAATACATTATGCAGAAAAAGTAAGAGAAGAACTTTAATTGCTACAAAGCAAAACTTCAGATATTAACTGAAGTGTCTTAGTAAATTGACAGTTCATAACTTAAAAGTTTCAAAAAGTTATTTCAAACGCTGTAGTTTGAATTGTGTCTTGTAGACTTATTTTGTATGAAATAGTTAGCTTTAACACATGCAAGTACATTACTGTCCTGAGAATCCTGTCTTCAGAAAGGCATCTTTTCCTCTTTCAAGTTCAAAAAACACTCACCCATCAAAAACCCAACACCTTGGTAGAGAAACAAATCAGCTGCCCACTAGATGTCCCCACTCTCGTGCTCGAGTCTTGTTCCTGTGTCGCTGCTACTGACAAGTATCTTGACCCATAACCCATAACCCCCCATAAGCCTCTTCAGATTCATTTTCATTAGGTCCTTGATAGTATTAATTCCTGTTAATGTCCTTCTCAAGGAAGAATCATATGACATACATTCACATTAGACCAGAGTTTGTAGCTTTTATGAAATTTAGTGTTTGTTTTCAGATGATGCGCTGAACGCTGATGATGAAATCTCCTTAGCAGTGTTATTTCTGTGCAGACTTCAGACCTCTCTAAATAAGTAATTATTAGGGCACGTTTTAATTTCTATTCCTTAACCAAACTTCTTCAATGAAATACTAAAATTATCATGAAGAAATTGCTGTTCCAGTGTTAAAATCTGTCAGGGTGGAAATTCCACGTGAATACACCTCACAGTTTAAAAAAGGTACCAAACTGTGTACTTGTACAATGTGTGAAATTCTTTTCCTCTTCTAATCTTCAGGAAATAAATGTCACTGTTATAACACATGCTTGTGAGGACAAAACAAATATTTTAAGTCCAGAAGAGCCGTGTATAAAATCCTCACCTCTATACTAAACAGTTAAAAGAAAAATACGCTTTTTGTTGGTAAAGAATATTTAGACTCATTTTTGATAGTAACTGTTTGCATTTTAAGAACTCTCCTGATGTTTAGGAATGGAAAAATCTCTCTTTGTTACCTTCAAGTCATCCAAACTTGAAGGCAGAGGTCCTGGTTTCCGGCTAGGAACATTACTGTTCTGTCTTGTTGCGTTTGCAGCTGATGTTGGTGTGTTGTTGTTCAAAGCACTTAGTGGTGTGTTCCCACTGTTATTCTGTTTGTCACTCAGTGGCCTTCAAGAGATGAGAAAAATGAGGACAATAATGTGAGTGCTAAATATACAACACATGTAATACACAATACATATATTCTATATTCTTTTCAGTCAAGAAGCCGTGATTCTATAAACTTAACGAAGAGTGATTTTTTAAAACTATATATGTGACATTAAAATAATTTTTAATAAAACAGCACAGAGAAGAAAACATACAGAGGATACTATACTGATATTTTATTTGTCATTAAGCTTACATAGTTATGCTTCACAGTTTTTATTATTGTCATCCCTTTGGGGTACTGTGGATGCAGAAATAGTTCATACCAATTAATCATTAACTGGGGCAGTCAATTACTGTCCTGTTTGATATCAGAAAAAAAACCCATAATGGTGAAATCTATGTATCAACCCTACACGCAAGTTCAATGTCCACATCCAGTAAGGACCAAAGGGATGATGACGTGCTTTGAGTCAGTGGTACTCTCATAAAGAAGAATCTCATATCATGATCTCAGAATAATTGTTAAAAAATGTTAAAATGCCACCATTTACACTAGGTACCATAAATTAGCTCTTTATTTCATTCAAGTGATTTAGGAAGAAACATTTCTGAAATGTCAGAAAACAGAACATAAGAAGCGTGGGTAAGCAAGCAGAAACAGCTCTAGTCTAAATGTTAGGATACATGGTAATTATAAGTACAACCACAGATGGTATCCTTTTACTTTTCTAGTCTCATTTGTGGAGGAAAGAAAACTTGGTGAAAGCTCATTAAAAAACAACAATAACAACAAAACAAATGTTGAAAGCCACTTCAATTTAGGGTTGTGTGACTGTGGCACGTTACTCTGTAAGCACTTCTAGGAATAGAATGATGGTTTTAGATGGTGAGAATGAAACTCTGCAGTCAGCCGGCTCCTCTTTCTGCTGAACGCTGCAGGCAACCCTCATAAGGGCTTATTTTTCTGACTGCCTCTATCTATAAAACAACGTACACTTCTCACTGTTAGAAGTGCCAAAGAGTTCACTAAGCACTAGAGATGAGGGTATAAACATACCCATTTTACATAATTAAAAAGACTTTTTTTTTAACTTGAAAATGGCAGGAGTTGAACAGGTGTAAAAGAACAGAGCAGCAGAACAGCACACGTCTCTGTAAGGATGTCTGCGTGTTTCTCTTCTGCGCTGCCTACCTCAATTATATTTGAGTGCAAACTGTGACAAAACGTTCTTGCTTTCACATACACATGCACTGAGTTTCATATATGCCTCTGATTGGAAAAAATGCATCTGACAGGTAGAAGATTCTATTTCCATGTCAAACTGAAAGTAAATAGGACTTGTTACAAGCTTTTCAGACTTCAGAAGTATTTTGAGACCTGTCTCATCACTCTGTTGAGGTTAAATAATACCCACACTAACACATGTTGCCGTTTAAGTTTTCTCAGTTTCCATGTGTCTCTAACATCTGAAAAACATTTCTAAGGCACAAAGTCCACAACTGATGCATATATGCTCCTAAAATACACTTAGAAAACACAAAGCTTCACATACTTCAGTGGTGCAGGCAGAATTGTCTGGTAGTTGTAGTGTTGTTGCTGTTGGCTCAGGATCTGCAGCTGCAAAAACAGTTGCTGCTGTTGTAGCAGACGAGCATAGTTTGAGTCCATCTGTGGCTCGTTCTTCTCACCTTTCTGATCAGGTGGAATATATTGATGATACTTCAATTTTTTCACCCTTGGTTTAGGTTCCTTACATTTCTTACTCCGATGCTTATCATTTGGGTTCTTTGGGTGGCTTTGCTAATTACGGATGGAAAACATTGAAACAGCTATAAAAGACATTGCATTTATGAGCAGTTACGCAAGATACAAAGATAAAGTACACATCAGTGTATTGACTGCAAAGAGAGCTGCTGAATAGTTGTCCCTGCAATCCCACTCAAAATGACTGGTCGTCATCCTTGAAAAAGTAACATACTATAACTATTTTATACTTGCGCACAAAAAGGGGCCATCAGAAATTATAGTTTGTGAATATTTTGTTAGTACATGGCACAAATGAAGCTAAAGGATTCCGCTCGCCATCACCTGTCATTATAAAGAGACATTCTTCTGAAGGAGCGAAGTTCAAAGTCACACTTCATACATGTGAAAGATAATAACTTAAACACCATCTGTAAACACCTACAGGTCAGAAGTACTCACAGTTCTAGATTAAAATCACAGACAGACCATCCTATCAAGTCCAGGATTACTCTAATGGAGCTTTCAGCACCGCTTTTATCCGCAATATCTGTACATATGGTAAAATGCTCTTCCTTTACAAGATCTTTGAAATTATTTTGAGTGAAAAGTTGAAGGCAGTTACCTAGTCATACAGAAAGCATCACAGCAGAAATCCTGTGTTGATCCATGCACAAGTACTACAGGTTTGGGGGAATATCTGAATTTGTCATTAAGGTTCTGTGAGGTAAGTTGGTACAAAATTTGCTGGATATAGCCAAATTTTATACTAGAAATTTACTATTAGAGGTCATCCTCTGAAAATTATTTTCATGTAGTTAGGTAGAATTCTACATATATGAAATCACTACAGAGCTGAAACGTTTCAGATGTTTTCCAACACAAACCTTTCTCACACTGTACTGCAAAAGTCTTCCATGCTGCTGGACAAGGCAGTGTAGAAGACAACTGAGTGCACTCAGTTTTCTGATCTTCAAATATAAGGATACAGTAACTTCACTGCTTTATTCTCATACGATAAACGAGCTACAAAAATATTTGTGAAAAAGGAGGAATGCTGTTCACTGGTTTGGCTGTAGGTAGATTATGAATGCATTGCCTCCATTCCTATTAAATTATTTCCCACATAAAGCTAGATTAGAAAATTAATTTCTTTAGTAGAGAAAAGAAAATCCATATTGCAAAAATCTAATATTATTTCTTTATGTATTTTTAAAAAATTCAGTAACAATGCACTGCATCACTCTGCTTCAGTACTTTATTCAAGTACACCATAAGAACCTCTTGAAATAATCAGCCAGCCCTTACAAGTGTTCTCGTTGAGCTCAGTGTACCAAAGCCTTCAGTCAACAGCAAAGTATGTTCTGAACACTGTAAGCAGTTGTTGGTTACAGATACTGCAACATTATTACTGTATTCCTGCACTGAATGTAGCCACAGAAAAACAAATCAGATTAAGAACTGACTTCAGATGCCACTGTTTCAGATACCTACCTTTACTAATGTTGGCCCAGGCTTTGCTGCAGTCACAGTACTTGTGGTCATGGTGGCTGTAGCAGTAGAACGTGTAACGTGTTCGATTGTGGGAGGAGTTTTAAGGAATTCAGGAACTGGAGAGGTTAAAGGTGGATACTAGTATTAAAAAAATATAAGGAAAAAAAAGAAACATTAAAAACAACCACAGCATCTGAATAATCAAAAATATGTGAAGCAGTTAAGACAGTTCACAAAACAGTTTTAGAAGAAATGACAGAAATAGGACTCTTCCATGTACACAAGTGTGCTATAAACACACATTTTGGCACACTTCAAATATAGCAATTAAGAAACTGATTTCTTACCTTGACTTGTCAGTTTGTATTTTAATTACTGCATCTAAATGTATCAAAAATGTGTTTTTACTCATACAGAATTTACTTGTAGTCTCAAGACAAAACAGTAATTGATTTTAATATCATTTTTTAATAGTATATAATATTTTTACAACAATTCTTTACTTAATTAGTATTGTTGACATTTTTTGCAAGTAAAAAGAAAGATAAACATGAAGTATTTATGAAACATAAAAGAAGCCCTCAGAAAGGGCATTGTACACATAACGCTCACACTGGGTCTTGCTTTGCAGAAGTCTTTTCCCCTTCAACAAAAGTGAAAAAAAAATAAACAGAAAGAAAGTATCATGAATTTTTTTTTCTGGTTCAAAGTTGCTACCCTGATAAATCCATTCTGATAAATCCATTTTAAAAAAGAAAAAGTTGGAAGGACATTCAGAAGTAACCTGATCCACTCAAGTCAGGAGCATTTTACCAAAACTACTTCTAACATAAGAGAGCTGCTCCAAAAGTAATGCCTCCTATTGGCATTACAACGATGTTGGCCCACAGTGTTGTTGCTGTGTGACAGATGGCAGCAGAGGGGCACTGGGACAGAATGGCGCCTGACATGGAAGTGTGGGGGGAGCGAAGGGTGGAGCTGAATTCCTCCATGTGGAAAAAAGGGCCCCCACTGACATTCATCAGCACTTTTGAATACTGATGGAGGTCAAACAGTGGATGTCAGCACAGTGGTGCATTTCAGCAGTGAAAGACAAACCACTTTCCAGATGGCCGTGTATAGTGTCACAGCACGAAATGAAGAGCTCTTGTTCATCGTGGCAAAAATGTGTAGCTAATGGTGGCGACTACACTGAAAAACTGTACCTGTAGTCCTATCTAATTGTGCTATTGTGCTCTTCGTATTGTTTGTAATTTCCATGGAAATAAGTAGGAGGCATTACTTTTGGAGCAACCTACATAGTTCTTAACGCTGCAATTGCAAAATTCTTCAAGAACTGACAGCTATCACTGGAGTAGCTTTCTTCCTAGCAGTGTAATGAAAACAGAAATCTTGTCTTTAAGGCAAGGACTACAGGAAAACCTTCTCTCCAGTTCCTTCCTTGATACAGTTACCAAGCTTTCGTACATGAAGGTTTCTACAACCACAGTTACAGTTTTTAAGAATATTAAAAGTTCCTGAAGTTTTTTTATATGGAAATAAGTGGAGATTTTGTTAATTATATGATTTTACTGATTTTAAATAAAAGGAGAGAGAGGTTAAAGATAGCTAAGGAGTGAACGGAATGCGCTGTTAGCAATCATTTTCAGGTTTACCACTGTTTGTTACTGATCTCTTGAAGCAACATTCATGATGTCACCTTAGAATCTGACCCTGCACCTATACTTGCAGCAGCTGACTGAAATTACAGAAAAACACCGTATTTAGAAAAAACAGCTATTTACTGAGTTGAGGCCTTCACATTTTTCTGTGTGTGTGTGAGGTCAGAATCTTGCGCACGCAAAGAAAATCTTACCCCACAAATTACTGCCCTCAGAAAAGCCTTTCACGAAGGTCAAACATCCACCTAGGAAAACTAACCTATTTTTTTCATGAGCACACAGTATTAACGCAGCCACATAATTTGAAGAAATAATCTTCAATAGCATTTGCTAAGGAGTTGCAACCACTATGATGTTACTGAGTAGGTATAATTCAGTAGCCTGCACTCTCCTGAGTTTGTTCCCTTGCTGCTACAAGCACTGTGTGCATCATTTCATCTATAAATGTACCAAATGCCAGAAAGACTTAGGATTTTTTAAAAATCATTATTTTCCTGCCACCATGATTCCTGCCAGAAATTTCCAGAACGTTTTCTAACATAATAAAATTTCATTGAGCTCAACTCTGTCATGTCCACTCTTTCTGTGCTGAAAGCTGTGAATAGGCTGCCTAGCTTTCATAAGCTATTTAAGCTGCATAGTGTTTTTGATCCTTTTTTTCATTTTCAATTTTTTAGATGAATAATATTTTCCAAGATCTTGTTCAGCCAAACTCCTGGCAGTTTTTACTCTGTAAGGAACTTTTATTTTCTGAGAATATTTGCACCCCTTTCTTAAAGGCACACCGCGGGGATGTTTGATTTTACATTATTTCAAAATTTATGTCACTGAACCTCAGAGAATTCCACATACAGTGCAGTGGATTTGGAATTCATTGCTTCTGGGTGAAAAGAAACAGGTAGCACAGCCATCCCCAGGAAGCGAGCCACTTAGCGAGCCGTCATAGGAACAGTTGCACGAAGAGAACACAACAGTTTAAAATGGAAAAGTCAGTATCTTTCAGAAAACAATCTCTTAAATCCTGTTGCTTGAAACTCGTGGTGTTAAATAATCTCCTTGCCGTAGTGTATAACTTCTTCCTTACTTTAGTTATCTTGAACTACAAAGGACTTCAACCATATGAAATACAAAACTTTTTACAGACTTGCCGATTTTACTGCTGGTGCCAGATGAGGCAGCTAACCACGTATGTCATTTACCTGTTATGCTTTTAAATTTTAGTTTAAAAATCTAAACGGATCTCAGCTTCCTCACTTGATTACTTCATAAAGTAATGTAAGAATTACTTCTTATGAACAGAACTTTTACTTCCAGATACAGATGATATCATTTCTGAACCTTTTATTCTAAATGCAAAGAAGCATTTAGCAGGTCAACAAGCTGTAGTGAATATATTATGAAAATTGTTATTCAATTCTTACTCAAACAAAGTTCAGCTGTTTTTTGAAGATAGTTGTTCTGACGTTAACTGTTTAGCACCATCAGAATTGTGGTGGTAAAGCACTGCATCCTTACCAGATGCAAATACATCAGGTGAAATCAAGTTTTGGGTCATCAGTGAACATGAGCTGAAGGTTCCCAAAGTTGTTACTTTCTGTGAGGCTTGAAAATGTGCGGAGGAGGAAGCTTTGAAAAGAACACTGGCTGCCCTTCACTGTTTTCAAAATATTCTTTGTACTTTCTGTTACAATAAAATGCAAAATTTGTCAGAGGAAATTAGAAGAATGAAGGATCAATTTCCCAGACAGAGCCTGCAGAGACACGCTGGCTCATTTTCTTTATTTCTAAGGAACGATAAAGTAAGCATCAGTTTTATTGTGCAGAGGAGCAGCTTTGCATTTTAGGTCTGTACACAGAAGCGGCTGTAAGGCATTATCAAATCCATAAGCAGAGGACTGAAGTTCTTTTGAAGTGCCTTTCCAGTCAGCTTCAAGAGCTCAGTCATTTTGTTGGCGCAATCATGCCTCTATCTTATGCTTCCTACTTGAAAAGCTTTTGGCATGCATTGCTCTGAGTATTTTTATTTAGCTCTCCATTTGGAATCTCTGTCTTAGGAATCTAATTTCATGTGGTTTGTTTTCAGTTTCTTCAGCACAAATTACATTCATTTGGTACGAAACTCAGTTAATGTCTTATTTTTATGTTAGTGAACAATGAAATAGAACAGATGTGCAGTACACTGTGTCTGGCATTGTTTTTTCAGCATGAACTTTGCAATACTTTTTGAATTACTGCATTAATAAGTAAATAAAAGACAGTATCAAGTTGTCCGTGGCCATTAAAAGAATTGGAAACATCTTGGGAGACCAGGCAATATTAATCTCATATACAGCTGTTTAATTTTACATTACTTTATAAAGTAAGAACTCAATATTCCGTTCTGTCTTACCTTTTGGTTTGCCTTATTTTAAAAAGTGCAGTGTGGTTCCTGTATGCAGAGCCCTGGCTTTGCTATAAATCCCCTGGCAGTTTCAATGCATAAATAAAAGCATTTTCCACAAGCACGCTTAATAGAAGGGCAAGCATAAAAACGTGGCTCGTTTGTGGACTTTACTGACTGTTTAACAGATCACTGTCAGAAAACATATAACAGCTTTGCTGCCTTTTCCTCCTCTGAAGCCTTTAATTTGTGTCTTTCTCTGCCAAACAAAAAAATTCATAGAAGAACGAGCAGAAATCCAGATAAAAGTAAACAACTTGCCCAGAATGAAGATAGACATGAAGTAATCAGTAACAGCCATAGCAAGCTGTGGATGTGGCCTTTTACACAACTCCCTGGGAAACAGCAGTTCTACTGGCTGTAATGAATTGTGGTGAATCTATGGCTGTGGGAATTTCATCACCACCAACAGCCAAGCAAGGACTCCAGTCTGTAATTCTTAACAGAAAGTGGAGCTCCAGCCAACTCTTTGCAACAGCAAAGATACTGAATTCATGTGAAACTATGCCCCATTTCTACAGTTCCAAAAATATACTGTGGAGATTTTGCTTCAATGTTTTAGAACTGTACCTGTGTTGAAGTAGTAGCATTTGGTGTTATTGGTGATGGTGAGTCACTTGTTTTTGGTTCACCAGGGGAAGCAGCTGAACCTTGGGATTCTTGGCTGGCTGGCTGATCTGGTGATAAAGCATCACTGCTGTCTTCATCAAATGAATAGTCATCCAAAGCTTGAGGGTAATTCTGTTGTCCAACTGCTAGAATGTTTATAAAGGAACAAGCAAAACAATTATTTTTAGTTATAGAAATTAAACTTAAACACTCACTGGTGGCAGAATTAGGTAGCTGCTAGAAACTGACCACTTTTCAGGTCAGTCTGAACATATTCTATGTTAAGTATTTTATTGCATTTTTGATATAGCGATAGCCATGTAGATGATATTATTAAGAAACATATTTTCAGATGGAGTATTATGGTCTGTGTATTTCTAGCTTGGCTTTGAACAAAGACTGGGTGACTATATTCGGTTAAATGATGACACAACTTAGGCATCAGAAGCTGAAAGAATAAGAACTAGTAAACTATGTTTTCTTCTGGTGAACTTTAATCTTAAGCCTCGATATACGCTGTAGTTCTTTTACTTGCCTATAATTGCCTCTTTAACACTGGAATCTACAGGCAGAATATTTTTTTCTACCAGCTCCATAGGGCCAGGCCTCTGCGCAATCTTCTCATTCAGATCATCTGCCAAGCGTGCTCTCTTCAGTTTCATCTGAGTGGCTTGCAACGAAGGCTCTGCAAAGGTCTCTAAAATATTTGTTGATTTAAATAATCTATTCAATCTTTCTCCAATTTCATGACAACTAGCATTGTCTCATCTAACCATTCTGTGTACATCAAAAGCATACAAGTATGATTTGGAAAACCTCAAACTAGTATTAAGATAACATGAAAAGATACTTTCCATCTCCACGCTTTGCTTTCTAAAAAGTAAAGTAAATACATATAACCTATTTTTTAAAAGCAATAATAATTTTGTAAACATTTTTATAATGTCCAAGAATAAAGCAAGGAATATAAAACAGCCAATTCCAATTAAAATCTAAAGATAGCATTTGCTGCTTTAATATTTACCAGTGTATGCTATGGTAAAGATTTAACTGATAACTGATTTTTCAAGTAGAAAATTTTCAAAATTGTATTTCAGAAAAATCTGGAGATATTTTGTCAATATGGAGACGGTTTATCATTATAGAGACTCCCCTCTGGTACTTTATCTATCCAGACCAAATGCATGTTTAGAAACTAAAGAACATTAAACTGACTTGGATTATGGTTATTTGGTAATTTCTGCAGCTGATAAGATTATGATGAATCACAGTAATACAGACTCATTCATAAACCAGGTTACTGTTACTGAGCAACAAGCAAAATAACACGGCAAGGTGGAAGTCAAGTTTATAATAGGTAGGGGCTTTTGGGGAGGAAAAATGTCCAGAACTGTCAATTGTTTTACGGTAATGAGTAGAAATTGAAGTAATACTTATATGTATGTACACCATGGCATAATTACCATTAGGGACTAAAAGCAATATGCACTTGCCAAAAAATGCACAGTTAGGAATACTTTCACTGCCACAGCTGTATGTATTAAAGACACTGCAGAAACAGAGAAACATGTAGACATTTAGAAATAATTCGCATCAAAGCCCAATTCAGTTATACAGCTGAGGGCGTAACAGAGCTCCTTCTGCTTAAAAGGCACCTACATACCTTCAAGGATGTGCATTCTGACCAGCTCAGACCGGTCCGGTCTGCTGCGAATCTTGTGCTTCAAAAAATTTTCAGTCTTTAAAGAAATGAAGAATTATCATTAACTGGTATTTATTTGAAAAAGCAGAAAGTAATTCACTGATGTCCAAAAATGAATATTTGCAGTTGCATTCAGAACAGCAGATCACTGTTCCAACAGGGCTACCAGAGAGGGTTCTGCTTTGCTTTGTTTTTGTTTTTCAGTCAAGCTGTATTAATGAATTTCTATCTTCCCAAAACAAATTTGGAATGTTTCTGGAGTTGATCCCTTTGTGCCACACTAAATTACAGTAGTAAGATTAGATATTTGCTACAGAAATATATCACAAGAATAATTTAATCCAAGTATTTTTTCCTTGGACTATGTGGGTATGTGTTGCAATATGACCATAGTTAATCCCACATAGGTGCTTGATTTAGGAAGGATTAAGAAACTTCCTTAGATTTGGTGCCAACATAACAGATCTAACAGATCCTTTTAAGGTACAAGCCCATATTGTTACTGCAATGGTCAGATTTTTTTTCAAATAGAAAATTCAATATCGTATACAAGTGACTGTCCATTGTCAGATGTTAATGGCAAGTTTACACAAAGTGGTTTACCCTGGCTCGCTCCAGGCTCTTTATCTGCTCGTGGAATGCAGCGGGACTTTTCAAAGCTGTGAAGGGAAAAGTAAAAGTTAAGTAGATAAGAAGTGATTAACAAAAGAAATACCCTAGTCACCATCTGTGTCTGGTTGTTTAATACTGCGTTAAGGCAGTGTTTGCATCTGACCAGGCTTACATTTGACTCAGGCCAACTGTATAAATTTCTATTTCTTTTAATTTCTACTTAACACAGAATACATGGAATATATGATTTTAACAGATATCACTGCATAACAGTTAACTTTTTCACTAAGTGGACTAAGAGGCTGTTAACTAAAACTGTTCCACAGCAGGAAATTTACGAGATAGGACATAAAATGCCAAAATACTTTCATTTATTCCGCTAATCTTCTCTGAAAGAGTGCTGACTTCTCCAAGGGCGGTCAGGTCTGCAATGGGCTGCCCAGGGAGGTGGTGGAGTCACCGTCCCTGCAGGTGTTCCAGACACATTTAGATGCTGTACTGAGGGACGTGCTTTACTGGGAGATACTGGTGGTAGGCTGGCAGTTGGACTGGATGATCTTGGAATTCTTTTCCAACCTTGGTGATTCTATGATTCTGTTCTGTGATTCTACATTAGTATACAGCTGTACCTATGGTACCCTTGCTGTTACCAGAAAGAGATGAATTGTCCTTTAATAAGTATTTATGCTGATTTTTCAAGAATTTTGTATAAGCTTCGTGTGCTCAGATTAGAAAATAGGATGATTCTACATTATGTATCAATTCAAAGCAATATTCAAGGAGACCATTAATATTAGAAAGCCTATTTGCTTAGCGTGTAAATCATGCAAGAGCAGCAGAATGCGCAGCTGTACTTCATAAAAAAGAAAAGACAGGTAAATCATAGGAATGGTACAGCTGGGAAAGACCTCCAGGGATCACATAGCTCTTCTCTGTCACAAACACACAATCCACTTCAGCAGACACTGCTGATGACAGCCATGTGTACTGCCTTTCAATAACTTTCGGGGAGATGTTTCCAGGCAAGATATAGCCATCTACAGGTTTAACTCTTCCTGGCTGTGATTTAAATCCACAGCTTCTTTGCAGTGCAGGAATCTACCACAGAGACGAAGAAAGCTCACTTATGAGTAATACTGTCCACAGAAGGCAAACTCTCACTCTTCTTGCTGCTTAGCAAAAAAGTTGGAGTGCACATCCTGGTATTGAATTGCTCTCAACACAGGGCTGTATATGCAAGAACATGAGGGAAAGGAGAAAGCTGGGGAGGCAGGGAGTTATCAGTTACAGCAAATGGTCTTTTTCTAAATGGGTAAGCGTATGTTATGGCACGTGGGGAGCAGCAAATAAATAAGCAATAAAACCCTCCAGCTGGGTGGAGGATTTCAGTGTCCTTTATGCGAACAGCAGTTCGTTCTGGTCAGTGAAACATGGCATCAATAGTCAGTCACTCATTGTGAGTCTTCTGTGCTGGGAGTGCAGGGCAGCTGGAAGTGCAGGCAGCCCATGAGCAGAAGCCCAAACCCTGGATTTCTTAGCGGTGAACACAAACAGTTCTAAAAGAATCTGGGCCAGTGAAAGATTTAGAAAGATGTCCTGACACTGAGAGTGTGAAGTATATAGTCTGCCCTAAAAAACAGGAGGGACTGAGAAGAAAGTTGGCAGGCTTATTTCCTGGTTACAGTGCAACACCAACATTATCTTAGGACAGAGTCTGGAGGACATTAACTGCAATGAGTCATAAATTTATAAATTTCTCCTTCTCTTGAAGCAGAATTAATAGCAACCAGAAGAACTACCATCAAGGATGAAAGAGAGCGGGAAGCCAGAAGTACTTATTTTCTAATGTATTCTACCACATACTGTGATTCAAGTCTCACCACAGTTCTTGATCTTAAACAGGGGCATACAGTTTGGTAGGTTCTTATGACTTAATTATTAACTGTAAGGTACAGCAGAGGCTGTTACTTGGGGAAAATCTAAGGAAGTGGTAAACTGAATTTTTAACTGGAGAACAAAGCCTGGTAATTCTCTAGATGAAACTGAAGGAAGACCAACAGGAAGGTCCCCACTTTTCTTCAGAGGCTGTCAATCTTTTGATCCTTTGTCAAGGATTATTTGGGGTACAAAGCAATTGTAGATTTCTCTGTCCTGATCAGAGCAGAAGAAACTGGATGGGTATAAAATAGCTCTGTTCTACTGCTGAGTATAGCCCTGTACTCCTTTGTGATGGAATGCACAAGACAAGCACGTTCTACATTCAGAGCTAGACAGTCCTGATTAAAGCAGAGATCTTGCCACTCATTGCTAGAAATTATTACAGTCTCCTTTGATCTCCCAGGATGCTGGCCTCATGTACTTCTTTCAATAGGAAGAATTTTTCAGGAGTCATCACTCCTTTGGTAAGCTCCACAATGAGTTAAACTTTATGAGCTGAATGAGCTTACTGTACTTTGTGTATGTTGGTGGACAGCTGCCCCTTGGTTACTGAGTGTGAAAACTATTTTTACCAGAACTGAAAACGGAAGAAAGAAGAGGCCAATCCAACTGGTATGTCTCTGAAATCCAATGCTCCTTATCATGGTGCACACTGACAGAACTGAATTCTTCTTGTCACCCCAGTGAAAAAAGATAGCACTATTGCTATGCTAGTCACAAGAGAAGGTGCACGCCTGCTATACCATAAAGTACAGTTTTAAGAGCAAGCAAGACTTCTCACATTGAAGAGCTGGAGATAACTTCTCTGATGACAGATGAATATCCACTCCCTCTACTAGGAGCCTCTGTGGCAAGTGTACAGGCCTAGGAGTTCTTAAACCTTGTGAAACAGCCAGGCGAGAAGGAAAGAAACAATCATCACGTGAAACTGTCTGAACAATTTATCTCTGGACAGACCACAGGAAAAGTATTCAGGGGTAGAAAGGACAAGCCTCGGTACAGCTCTTCTGCCTGTACAGGAGAATGCCAGCAAGCTTCCACCATGAAGCAGGTGATTATGGAAACCAAGCTCTGCTTACATCTCGTGTGAGACTTGAAAAACTTGCAAGTATGGCACTTGGTTGGCTGTCTATATAGTGTGCATCTATCCATCTGGTAATGTATGCACATTATACATATACTAAGGCAGTATAGAAATATGACTTACAGTAATATATATTCTGCAATACAAATTGGATGACAGGATATAATTCTCATTGGAGTGTACAAAAGTTCTCATCGTTAGCCACTAAACAGAGGAGAAGAGCTGCTAGTCAGCTAGAAATAATATCAAGTACAGACTTACTGTTAAAAGGAAGGGATTTTGCCATACATTTAACAGAGATGACATGCCACAAAACAAAAACTTGGATGACTTTTTCACAATGTAGAACCTTTTTCAGGTTTAACTCAAAAAGAAACATATTCTCTTGCTAAAGAAATCAACACTATAGACCTAAGAAGGTAAAGATGCTTTAAGATGGCAATTCAAAGTCTGATGAGTATTCGGAAACTGTCAGCAAGAGATTAGCTTTGAGACACTGTGCTTTCAGGTTAGAATTTTTAAAGCTAGAATTCACCAGTGCACACTGAGCTATTTGTAACATATATATACTAATGTTTCACAAGAAAAATCACTTTGCACAGCTGAAAGTCTCCTACAGCTTGGTGCTATTATCTGGAGTCCAGTCTCAACCCACACTGTCCACTAGTGTATTTTCCATGTTTTTTTGTGTACCTCTCATTCTGAGGCCAGTTAGAAGACATAATAGAAAACAATCAGCATAGTACTGGGAGCCCAAGTGTGGTACAAACAAAATATATCAAAGGAAAGGGTTAGCTGGAGTTGATTTCTAGAACACTATATTTCTTTATTCAGGAGGATCCTCTTGTGATTCCTAAATTGATTTCAGGTGTCACAGTGCTGCTGAAACAACCATCATCTCTAACACATTGAAATCAAATTCATATAGTCAATCAAATAAAGGGAAACAGACTCTGGCAATAAAGCGCATTTGCATAAAGCATGTCAATTACTTGCTTTCAAAATAAAACGCTGGGAGTTCAGACACTATAAACTGCAGTTAGATTCCAATTGTAGAACAGTTAGAGATAAAAATGATTTAGTAACTTCATGATTTACTAACTTCTTGCACAGCTTTCAAGGAAGGATGGCAGGTACTCAGAGTTGGGAGCTCAGCATTACAGAATCCTGGTAGCATAAATAAATTTATGCATTTATAAATAAATTTATGATCTTGAGGACACTGCTGCCTTAGCAAGACACTTCGCACTACAGCTGATCAGCAGCATCTCAACACTTCAAAAGATGGCATCTAAAGGCATTCACTACCAGTATATAATCCGATCTGGAAGAGAAGAATACCAAACTCTTACACCAGCTTGGGTGCTTTGCCAGATATGACAAATGGATCAGGAACTTCTGGCAACTAGTAAAAAAAACCAGCAGCCTTCTGAAAAATAAAATCAACCCCAGAATAAACAAAGCCTCCTCGTATATTCCTGGAAATGTATTCGTATGCAGTGATGGGAAGAAGCTAAGCACAAAAGCTTTTGATGCACAATGCCTAGCCAAAGTCATGTCCTGTAACATCACAGCCATCATCATGCAAGATTTAACACAGAAGACTTGCCTGTTAATGCCCTAGTTATAATTTCTGCGTGTCCTTTGGTTTGGTCTGGCAACACTTATCATCCTTAAAATACTGAAATACTTAAAATACTGCTGGCTTTGATATTGGTGTTCAGTCATTTATAAAATTTGATTTATTTCATAGAATCATAGAATGGCTTGGGTTGGAAGAGACCTCAAAGATCATCAAGTTCTAATCCCGCTGCCACAGGCAGGCTGCCAACAGTTAGGTCAAGCACCAGACCAGGCTGCCCAGGGCCCCAACCAACCTGGCCTTGAAGATCTCCAGGGACGGAGCTCTCACAGCCTCTCTGGGCAGCCTGTTCCAGCACCTCACCGCTCTCTCTGTAAAGAACTTCCATCTGACATCCCATCTAAATCTCTCCTTCTTTACTTTAAAACTGTTTCCCTTTGTCCTATCACTGTCTACTCATGTGAAAAGTTTGCAGTTTCATCACAGTGGCTATTTTAACTGTAACATTAGGTAAGCATGATGAATTTACTTCCCACTCATTTAGGTAACCGTAAGGATTCCACTGGTCCTTTCAAATGATAGTTATTTTTAATGATCTTAGAGAAATCCTGATCTTCATTATTTTATATATGAGTTCATACTTAATGCATTACAGTAATAAAAATTACTAGAAGTAAAGCAAGTCTTACGTGGCATGATGCCCTGGTCCACCAGCTGTTCACGTGTCCGTCTTTGTTGTAGCCTCAGCTGAAGTACTGACAAAAGAACACAACCATTCAAATGTAAGCATAATATCCCCCTTAAAAGTTCAAGACAAACTTTCAAAGATGCCAAGTATTCAACTTTAGAAATATTTTTGCTATATACATTTGGACCTGACTAACCTCTAGGACAGGCACCATTAAGGATCAACTGCTAGGAACATAATTTGCAGCAATCTAAATCCTTATTTGCAATGGATTTTGCTGTTAATTGGTCACATCTGATAAAAGGACTGCTTCAAACATGTATCATAAAAAACTCATACTTCCCCTCCAGAAAAAAAAATAGGTTTTTTAATAGTTAATTTTCCCTTATGCTTGTATCATTTTATCATAGTGCTTCACTATTTCTTAGATGTGTATAGCTGTTAACCTAATGTGAAATTTCATCTTTTATTTGAGCGATGGTCAGGATGCTTGGTCAAGAAAAAATACACTAAATTTGTAATACTTACATTCTCAAATTTTGCTTTAATAGTTTATTATGGATGTATGATTGTGACATGCTGTTTCCATTGTATTTCACAAGGAAGCAAAACAAAGTAACACATTGTCCAGACCATCAAAATGGATGTAATTTCTAAAAGTTAGGCAAAGGACAAACTTCATTGTTTTCAGAATGTAAAAGGAACCAGCTTATTTCCTGTTCTGCAGTACAGGAAGGATACTCCTCTGGCTTAAGCACTGCTACCGGGAATAGCGAGGCAAATGCTGACAACAAGGACGTTATTTTCTTATGTGACTCAAACACCGCGAATTTAAATACAAACATTTCAGGGCTGTGCCACAGCAGTTCTATTCAGAGTTTACAATATTGTTACACAAGAATTTGTGTTGTTACACAGGAATTACAAAGAACAGACGTGAGAACATGGAACAGCAGCAGACCTAGAGCTGCCTTCCCAGATCCAGTCACTGACATGATTCTCAGACAAAGATTTTTCCATCTTCATATGAAAGGGAGCAAACTTCTGTTCGGCATTTGGCATTCTACTGCACTAACACAGATGCTTACTGCTAGGTCACCTGGTTGGACTGGGCAGCCTAAACACATCCTACCACCTCAGCATTTAATGGTTATTGCATTTTCATTTTTCATTAGCAAGTTTGTGGGGGAAAAAAAATCAGAAAGGCCTCACACTGCAGTTTGGCAACACAAGCAAGCTAAATAACTGCTTCAATACTTCTACTCTGTATTCCTCTGTATCTCTCCAAAGTATGCGTTGTTTGCCCGAGGTGTATGCCACTGCTGAGACTCCTCTGGAAAACAAACAAGCAAACAAACAAAAGCACAGCCCTACACCACCTAAGCATCAATGGTGCAAACACATATACCCCAGGATGTGTTATTTGTATTTGTGGTTGACAGAATTTCTGTCAATTCTTGAAATGAATGTTGCTTGGCCATGAGTGTGATTGGTGGAACTGATAAAGGAAATGGCAGAGGACAAAGCAAATCTATTCGGCAAAAAATAAATCTAAGTATGTAGGTATCTTACCTCTTGTTTTCCAAACAGTTTAAACAAATTCTTTAACAAAAATTAATTCCAAATTTAGATGATGGGAAACACTGCTATATAATTTATGAGTGTATTCTATCCATGATTTGTGGCTTCAGTCATGATCAGATTCTTGGCTTAAGCTTTGTGGGAATGAGTAAAAACTCATCTGTATCCTCAGCAGTGTACAAGTTTGAGAAGACAGTATGTAATGTAGTGCAGCAGAAGGATGAGAAAAGCAGTAGGTGTGTAGCTGAACATAAAATGTATGTGCATACGTGTGAAGTTTTAGCATTTCTTAGCAAAAACGTGTAACAAATACTTATTGTGTCTCATAACACTTCATGTCTACCCATCATCAGTCAAACTACGCTGGACATCACAAAGCAAATTAGATACGGTGCTTCTGAAGTTAAGCCATGTGTATCTCTACTGGAGCACAGAAAAAAAGAGATATAAATGACACAGAACATTCACTTACTAAGTAAATATCAAGAACTTACACGTTACATAGCCAGGGAAGGACAGCCTGTAGCATGACTAATAGGGAAGCATTGAAGGGAGAACACTGAAGAAAAGACAACACGAAGATGCAACCAGAAGGTAGTCATTGGTGATTCTGATTTGATCAAAGTGAGGAGGGTAAATAAAGTTGTAGGAAAAATTAAGAAGGAAAAAAAAGTTTGGCATCCAGTTTTTGCTGTTGCCGTTTAATGGTTGAGCACTTAAATGTGTGACTAAAGAAAATAGAGTGTCTAACAGAAGATGCTGTAAATTGAAAAGTAGTATGCTAGTTCTAAGAGATGAAAAGCTGAAATTGTTTTTGCTTTTGCAAAGCAAACAAACCAGGAAAAAATGTAGTATTTATACATCACGGAAAGACAGAAAGGTTTACGAAGCCTTTAGTCACATGGAGACGGAAATAAAGAAGCTGAGATGTTTCTAAGGAGGAGATGGCAACCTGTGGTACATGAGTTGGATAGGTCCATCTGCACAAAAGTCAGCTTGCAGAGCCTGCGTGTCACGATACCGGCAGGAAGGACCTTTATTATGTCACTGCAGTCACAGAGACTTGGCCCTACAACTCAGCAGATATACATGATATACAGAATTGTATCATTACATTGAAGGTGGACCTGTAGTGGGTATGAAGGAAGGGAACTAAGAATTTATTTTACAAAAAGCTAGAAAGGACATGGGGACTCACAGAAAGCTGCATCAATCAGAAAGATATGGAAGATGGGAGTCATGGAAACTAAATGAAAAGGTTTTAATAAGGGAGATGTGATGAAATCATATTCAAAGACAAGAATGAAATATATGAGACTGGAGCTCAAGTTGCAATTTTAGCAAAGAATTGCAAATTTATTTCAGGGAGAAACTATACAGTAGTTTTTAAGTTAATTTAAATCTAATTTAAATAAATCTAAAACTGACTTTACTGATTATATATAGAAGCAGAAACCCACTCAGGAGAAGATTTCTGCAGCAGTCAGTAACATATAAAGTAAATCTAATAAGACAGGAAGATGGATAAGAACAGAAGACAGATATTATAAATAATCTGAAATCTATCGAGGCATTATACTAATTGATTACACTGTATTATTTGTTCTCTATATATCTCTCTCTTTTTTTCTTTTTTTTTTTTTGTTCTTTTTTTTTTAATAACCGTCTCCAGACAAAATGATGAAATCCAGGGAAGGGAGAATTCAAGAGAAATAAGGTGCTTTGAAGCGAAGTTCCTCCGGGTGCACCTTACTCAACGTGGTGCTGAACAGACTGCTCTTTTCTGGGTGAATCTATGCAGCTTGTTGCCTGATTGCTTCTCATTCTTATGCTTTTAAAATCAGGTAGTTAACATACATAACATCCAAAATCATAGAAGGTGGATCTCCAAATTTAAGGCCCAGAACTGACAAAGATTTAAATATGTTGATACACTGCAAACTTTACTAGTATTATTTCTTATATTTAAAGATCTATGTACAAAAGAAGGGCTTTGTTAACACCACTGAGCAAATGCAGTTGCTAAAACACAAGCATTTTGCACTTCAAATTATCTGCCAGGAATGTCCCCTTCACACCGCTGCCACTCCAAAGAACTGTCTTCCAACTGCTTCTGAATAAAAACCATGCAGAGGCCAGTCAGACTCCTGTTCTGACCTGCTGGAGCCTGTATTCTTTTTTATTTTCAAGTCAGTGCATGATATTAAGTTTAACACTTCAGCACCAGGCTGAGATTCCACGATTTCCATGTTTTCCCCAATTACTTTCTGAATAAGTAAAAATAAAGTGTGCTATTAAATGACTTAGAGTACAGTTACTAGCAAAGTTGAGCAAGTGATTTTTAGCCTTGGCTTTGTTACAAATGTGTAATTTGTATCCTGTGTTCGCTTTGTTACAAATGTGTAATTTGTATCCTATGGAAAAGGTGTCTCAAAGTAGTACTCTATAATCCCAAGAACTGGAATGCAAGGAGGCCAAAAATAAATAGTTGCCTGGCAGGAACAATGCTATCTGCATGACTGGCAAGCTTTCACCACTGCTCCTTGTCTTGAAAAAAAAACCAGAACACGTTCTGTGTGCAGTAATTCTAGCACTGGTTCCTCATCTAATACCGTTTTATATCCTGTTATTTTCAATTCAAGTTGAAGTGCTGTCTTTTTAGAGAAGGTGCTATGAAAGTATTCAAATAGTTGACATTTAACAAGGATAGAAATGCAACAGACTGAATCACTGAGGTGTTCATTAATCAGCATACAGTTATTTCAACTGACAGCAAGAAGAATAATGTACTGATTTTAAAAAAAAAAGTTCTTTATGTAATCAACCCACTACTTCCTCCAGTGGAAATGAGCTATTTGTGTTAAAACTGCAAGAAAAAATGGGATAATGCCATCTCCAACATTCCAGCATTCTGCCTTGGAAATTTCCAAGAGCGGTAGGAACTCCGGTGCGGGCTGCTAGGTTGGCTGCCATGGAAACAGACAGTGCTGGAAACACGGTTGTTTCCTTTAAATTAAAATCTATTACACAGAAAGCCTCTATTGAAAACAGCCTCCCTTGAAACAGCCTTTACACAGGCAGTCTCTGACATACTGGGCTTGATGCACAGAGCAGTAGATGTTAACAGCACGTTCTAGTTGCAGGGAGGCACTGCTGCAGAAGACAGTTCTATCTGCTGCACTGCAAAATACAGTCCTCCATCAGAAGTGATTTATGACTCATTACAGCACCAGGATTAATGCAGGTGTGTGAACAGCAGGGTGGCAGTAAAGTAGGAGAGTGTTTTAGCAGATGGCAGGTGGCCTTCACAAACAATCTATGGTGATAGCAAATACAGTAGCTTTACTCATTTCTGTGTGTCCAAACTCAGGAATGCGATGACGCAGTGCTCTTTTCATTTACATGGCATGCCTAAGAAAGAAGGATGGTGAGGAAAAAGCTGTGAGAATATTAGCTGTCTGTGGTTTGTTGGAAGTGATTCTAACTTGTTCAGCAGGCTAAAGATAAAATGCATCAACAGTCGTACTGACCCCCAGCCTGAAGATGATGCGACCTGTTGAATAAGTTTAATTTTCAAATAGAAACAATTAATCAATCATTAAAGAAATCTGACACCACCTAGGCCAAAGTGTCATTTAAAAAACAAAAATCTATTTTTACAAAATATCCCTTGCCTTTTCTTGCAGATTTTTATGTATTTTTTTCTATTATTTTGTATGTGAATTTTCTGCTAAGAATATATCCAACACAATGTAGGAAAAGTAAAACTGTCTCTTAGGCATACTCATTTTAGCAGATACTCAGTTGTACCATCATTCTGTCTTATAAATGGTGGCAGCAGAGAGTACTGAGGGCTGTTTCAAACCATCTTTTCCAAATTCTGGAGGGAAATCCTACAGCACTGTGATTTAAGCAGCAATATTGTACACATAGTTGTTTCTGGAAGCAACATTATCATACTGGAAGTAGGAAAAGAAAAGCCGGATCAGAAGGATAGTGAAGTGTGATCATTAAAAACAAAGAAAATGAAGCACAACAGTGTCAGTTGAGAAGCTTAAATGAGTAGGAAACAGAACAGTCTGTATCTTTTCCTATTGCTATGGAACACGTTGCTTAGAAACAAGTCAGAACATGCAGAGGCTCTAAAATTACTGGAAGGTCTGCTGGGATGAATATATATGTATACGTTAAAAGCAAAATGTGTATTTTTACAATTCCTTCAAAATCTTTCAAATTAAAAAAAACACAAACCACCAACACAGACTCCCATCTTGGGTATGAAATCTGAAAAAACAAAAGCGTTTTGTAAAATTGCACACGGTAAGTATATGACCAGTAATTACATATTCTAAATCTGCAATAGCCCTCTCCTTAATACTGTCTATTAATGTTTGTTTAAAACAGATTTGTATTTCCTCCATTATTACTATCAGCTCAGAAACACACTGTCAAGAGGCTAATGGGTTCAAACTCTCCATCAGCCACAGACTTGCTTTGTGATAAGTCTGGAGCGTAATACATTGACTGATGACAGACAATTTCCAGCCAAGCCCCCTTGGGAAGTTAATATCTCCATTCTACACAGTCTTCCTATGCGCAGCAGAGGCAGCAAACAAAATGTGTACTCAGGCCAATCATCCGGGTCACAAGATTACACGTTAACCTAAAATGAGGAAGGTGGATATATATTTAAGATGGCTGGTGCAACCTGGGCTGGAAGCAATGGCATTCTGTCAATTCTGCTATGTAGACAATAACATAACTGTAGGGGCTTGCTCAGTGGACAACAACAAAGTCACTGCCTTAGAAAGACTGGAAGTGCATACATGCACTGCTGGATGCTTTGTTAAAGGAAAAGAAACCTCCAGCACTGCAACAGAACAGACAGCGGCTTCAGTGTGGTTTCATAATCTGATCTTAGACTGCAGAATGCCAATGAAGAGGTAATGGTCTCTTCCTCTCTCCAACCACAGCTGCTCCACTTGCAGCAACACCAGCAAAGATGTAGCCTTCCAGGTCAGTACTCTGACCTGGGAAATCCAAGATTACTGAAATAGCCTTCAGTGACACAAACTCACTGATCCAGCTCAATCCAGAACAGCATAATCACTAATGCCAGCATGAGAAAGAAGATGGCAGCAAACAGCACAAGGCTGAACGAGATGACACCTATTTTTTGGCAGCAGTGGCCTTAGGCCTTACTTTCTTTGAAAGCTTTGGAAAATCTTGGCGTGACTGGAGTTGCATAGCAAATTTTCTTACAGCTCCTGCATAGCCAATGTATCCCCTAATTGCATATAGGTAACATATAACATATGATTACTACACTGTGACCTTGGTTTATCAAGGTATTCAAGCATGTGGCTATTACAATAGCACTACCATGCACTTATTCTCTGTTTAAGTGCTATACTGAACCAGAAAAATCTGTAGTGTGTTGGTTTAATTGTAAGACATGCAATTATCCCACTGTCATTAAAGAGAGCATTTATGGTAGGCAAAGTTAAGGACAGTAATAACCTCACAGGATCAGTGTACTGAATTTGAAGTGCTTCCTTTGAGTAACTATAACAAACAGTATACTATTTTTCAGCATTTCCTTATCAGTGTTTTAAGAAACATACTGATAAGCTGCCACTGATGAGGGGCACTATATATAAATACTTAAAATATACTTACATAAATATACACTATCTATAAAAACTTTTTTAAAATAAACGCCAGCAGAATCCTCAAGAATTTATGCCACGTCAGGAGAGCAGTAAAAGTCCAGAGTTTGACTGGTACTCAACATGCAGGAAATGTGCTAAATAAACAGCTCTCGTGCAGTATCGATTTAACTGCATGGACAAAGGGAAGTAACCACTCCTGCCTAAATCTGGTAATTCATTAACCAGACAGCATGAAGATATTTCCAGCAAGCACCTGAGCAGTGCCTGTGCTTCTCTCATTCTGCCCTGTATGCTGTTTCTAGGACTTGCCAGTTTGCAGTTCCTCACAAGTCAATAAAATAAAAAAGCACAATGAACCCAGGAAATTAATTATGCTTTAAGGGGAGAGAGGGAGGAAAAACATTTTTCCTGGTCAGCTTTGTTTCCTTACAGTAACTGGCAGGCAACTGGTAACTCTGAAGCTCGGATTAACACATGAAAGATAGCACCATCCTCATTTCTTCCACCAATTTTATAATCCCTTCAAGAACTTCCCTGCACAGCTGTACATTCTTGAACAAGCTCAGTAATTTCTGTACTGGAATAACCCGGGGTACAAAGCAAAACTGCCCAAATTCACTGCTCGTTTACAAACGTAGCCAAAACATATTCCTAAAATACGCCCTGTTGATCACATGGACTCTTTCTTACTAACTGTATGCACAAGATGCCCTTATTTCATCCAAGGCTTTTCACTTAATTTTCTAGATGTACTGTCTGTTCGCTTGCTATGAGATGACAGTGCTTTGGGAATTTCTGAAGAAGCTGCTTAGCTACCTTTGCACAGTGAGCCCCAGGGACAAACTGTTTTTGTTCTTTGCTCATACAAAGGCAATTTTGATAAAATGTGTAAAACTAAGAAATATTTTCACAGAACTGATAATAAGTAACTATAGGATACCACAGTATACATTTTATTGAATAGTCATTAGCCTATGCGAAGAAAATAAAATCCTTGTAACCTAACCTTCCTGTGCCTTTAATATTCATCTGCTAAAGTCAGCATTAGGATTTGTGTTTCCACCAAGCTCTTCTTCCCTGTAAAGAAGCAAGTTAAAAAAAGACTGCACCCAATAGAATTTATTCCTGAAATAAGCAAACTCTATCATTTTTAGATTTATCAAACTTACTGAAAACAGATTAGGAAGCAAAGGCTACGTCACCTTCTGAATTACACAGATTTCTACATACTTCATTGTGGATTGCTAAACAAATTTTAATTTTTTTTTGGCTTTAACCGTTCACACATGGTGTTGAAAAGTATCTGAACACGAAAGGGAAAATCTGAAAAATACCTAAACTACATATTTGTATTATAAACTGAAAAGGTGAAGATAGCAGGTCTTCACTGCATAACAGATTTACTATGTTTTCAGTAATTTGTTCTACACACATAACAAAGAAATGGCTTGTTTTGCTAAGCTTTAGAAAGAAGAAATGCTGGAAGAAGGAATCCTGTATTCCCTCAGGTTCGAGTGGGACTGTTTGAGTTCTCAAGGCAAACACTATGAGAAGGAAGCCACTGTTTGCCTTCTCTCTTCAAGCACTGTCTTTCCATCAGGAGGAAAGGAAGCAAAAATGAGTATTTTTTTGTAGCCCAAACTTATTTCTTAGTAACACAGTGGCTTTTCTCCCTTGTTTAAAAAAACTGCCAGTTACTGAATTCTGTAAGAAACTTTATATCTTTTTGCTATTTCAAATGTTATTAAGATCCAAATTAAACACAAAAGCAAAGCCAGCATTTAAATTCTGAGAAAGGCTTCTCATGTGGGAAGGGGAAAGGAAGAAATAAATCATGTCATATGAACTAAGAAGAAATCTCTGTATCACCAGAGAACCCAATGATACATGGAGCAAAAGCCACGGCTGAGTGCTCTAAAAGGGAGGAAGGAGCTCTGTCTGCTACAAAATAGAACTTGTTTCTGATGGATTATGAAGTTTGAGTCTGAGTCTTGAACTGCACAGCGCCTGGAAAGTTATCATGCACCAGCTCAGGGCGCTTGCAGGGCTGCCAGCTGACCTCAGGCGGTCTCTTCCCAGTCCCCCTTAATGCAGGCCAGCTACAAGAATATCTCCTGCTAGAAGGAATGAGACAGCTTCCATGCCTCAGCCGTGCTGTAGCCACAGCCCAGCAAATACTACTTGAAATTAATACCGTATAGCAGCATTTGTTAGCTTTGAATAAAGCTCCAAATATCCTCAAGCTATTCGTATTTTACAGACCGATGCTTATGGGTTGTGTTAATTTAATGTACAGTGTAATAACAATCATTTAAGGAGATATGAATTAATTTCAAAAGCAGACATCTGGAAAGCAGGCTGTAATCTAATTCAAGAATGGGGAAAAGAAGGGTATTCTAGAAAAAGACAGTAGCTGAGGAAACCAGTGTTGGCAATACCAGTGGCAATGCACATACAGAACTAACAGTCTGTGGGTTTTTGTTATCAGTAGTGTCAAATTTCATGATATCCATTTCATTATATTCATTTCAGTGACATTTTGGAGGGTTTTGTGCAACATTTACAGAAAATCTCAGAGTTCTTCATGAATTCAGAACTACATATTACTCTGAAGAGAGCGATCGCTCATTTTTCTTCACGGTACAATTTCTGTCAAGCTATGATGATCATTATTTAACAACTAAATTCTGAATTCAGCTTTTAGAGGGAAAACAATACCTAATTTGTTGTGCAAAGATACTCCTCGACATACAGTACGACCCCAGAAATACTTGTGAAATGAGAATGCACGGTTCTTCTGAATTTTCTGTCCCCCAATCAGTAAGAGACTGACCTTCCTTGAGACTTCTCTGGCTGTTCACCTCAAGGCATTCCTTCTCCTTCAGTGGCTTAACATCTCCAGCAGGTAAAATCTCAGAAAAGCCCTGTTGCTGCTTCTTGCAGCTATCGATCATGGTGAGAATCCTTTAGACTGGCAACATCCAGCACAGGAAAAAAATATTAATTTGTCACCAAGCAGTGCACTGCTGTCCCGAACACTGCTTCAGTTTCTTTCTCCTAAGAACTGAGCAGTCACATCTCTTTGCAGCCAAAAGCAGCCATCATCCTTCACTGTCTACGTTGACCTGTGAGACGCTCAGTCTGCTTTGGAGCCTGTAACTCACTCAAATGACAGCACAGAGCCCGTGAAGCCGAACTCTCAAATCCCGCCTCTTTTCCCAGAAAACCACTCCTCCCCCCTCTCCTTTAGCTGTGCTTGCTTCTTCTGCACAGTCGCGTTTCAGTATGCAGCTTGACGGTCAATCATCTGACAAAGAATGAGTCAAGCAGTTAAAAATAAATCCAGCAGTTGCTGAAGGAGCAGCATTTGCTGATACCTAAGACAAACTACTGCTGAGGACTCTCCCCTTTCCACCCCTTTCCCCCACAGCTCCTCACACTGCTGCAGGCAGCAGCAATACTTTGTCTTTGCCCAACTGGCACATTCATTACTTACTAATTTTCATCAGGCAACAGAGCTGCCTGTTGGCAATTGAAAAAAATGTCGAGGAACATTCCCAGCCCCAACCCTGTTCCAGAGGCTTTAACTAGCAGAAATAAGTGAGAAGAGCATTTCATGGCTTCCATGCGTTTCCTTGCTGTACAGGAGAGCTTCTACTCCTTGTTGTCATTATCTGAGAAATGAGCATTCTATTATTTTACTTTTTGCATTAATTACAATTCTTGTTATCCCCAGCAGTTTCAGGAGCGTTTCCTCCCACGGCTCCTGATCTGCCATTCTCTCCAGCACTTTACATTCATCTTAGGTGAGTCATCAGCTTCAGTGTCAATCAGGAAGGTTTTGGGGAAAGGGATCCCCCTCAAATGATCTGCCACACGCCATAAGGCAAAAGAAGATTATTGCATATATTTTGTACTTCGAAGAAATAAGCTATATGCAATTTTAAGTAGCTGCAGCACATCGAAGTTAACTCCAGAAGGTGCACATTCCCTTCCCTTTGGCCTGAATCCCCTGTCGTTATAGAAACTTTCCACATCCCTCCCTGGTATTTTAAATCCTTCACCCTGAAATTATAAAGGACATCCCCCCTCAGAAAAACTGTTTCGCTCTCTCGGCATCAGGTAGGAACAAGTCTACATGCAACAACAGACGCCTGCTGTAGAATTTTAGAACTATGCAATAGGGAAACATGGCTTTGCCCCTTAGGATCTCCCTGCACGCTGCCATCACTCCGTGCCACACCGCGGCTCATCGCCTCAACCCGCCACCCCGTGCTGAGGGCCGCCGGCCCCACCTGGCAGCCTCACCTCCGCCGGGCGCAGGAAGACACAACCTGCATTTATGGACACTTCTAAATTTCTGGGTTCTTCACACTGTCTTAGGATAACTTCATCTGTGCAGTGACTTCTTCAAACAGTAAAACGGTGCTCTGAGTACACAGACCAAAATATTCATGTAAACAATACCTGTTATACTTCTCTGAAAAAATGTGTTAACTTGAGCTGTAACTGAGGGTTTCTCTGTTTGTTTTTACAAAATTCCAACTTAGAACAGATTGTTATCCTGCTTTGTTAGGTAGAAACAAAGCAAGACTTTTTTTTTGTACCAGTGCGTAAGTTCTTTGCTTTGCACACATACGACATTCATCAAACAGAGGTGAATTTAGGCTCATCTTAAATACAGCCTTAAGATTCTAACTGAGCTTTTTGTCTTCACATTCTTTTGGTCGTAAAACATCAAATGTTTCCTTCTATTTTCTCCAAAAAGTCAAATGAAAAAATCAGGAATTTTTGGAATACTGCTAATATCTTACCCTACTGTGGTAACAGAAACCAAAATCCAAATTAGGGTCACCACTTCCCTCAGTTGCTCTTGCCATAAAAAAAAAGACAAGCTTTTTCAAGGTCATTTCAAATTTGTAAGTCTGCATGTCCTACTTCTCTTCTCCCAGTGAATGCCAAACAGGAGACGACACACGCTGGCACTGTTCACAGCGTAAATGAAAGACATACTACCATTCTACCTTACCCATATATATACCTAAAGAAATAAAAATGTAAAGGTATATAAGCAAAAAATATGCATTCAACTGCATACATACATACATACATACATACATACACACACACACAAATATATCATTTTAAATGACAATATTCGGGCATTCACCAGGAGAATGCCACCTGTGATTTGCAAAGGGCTCACATAGTAACTACTGTACATCACCAGTTTTCTTTGTATAACACTACTTGTAGCAGCTGTACCACACACTAACATTTCAAGAATAACACAGGCAGCTAGGATTTAATTCTAGCAATTCATAATAATTACACACTGGAAGTTAAAATTAACATTAATTTCTAGCTATGCATGTAGTTATCCACACGGAATTCCAGGAAAAAAAGATGCCAGAGTCAGGCAGTTTGATCAGGAGATCTCTTTAAAAGTAAACATACTTTCCCTATCTTCTGTAATCAGTCAATTGCCAATCCCTGTATCAGAATTTCTTCATATATACCAGATGCCTTAAATTGAGTCCGTCAAAGGTCACGTCTCTCATCTTAATCTCTTCACAATAAGCAGATAATTAAAAAGAAAATCTATAAATCAAACTAAAATGACAGAACGTTTGTTTAGAAGTTTACCAAATGGAATGACCCTGCTGGAATTCTTTCATGTAGCCTGTGAAAATATATTCCATCTGAGGGGTCACAGTCCCTAGAGAGCTCTGAGTTTTGGCCTGTACGTCTTTTCACATGCTTTAACATTTGCAAATTGTTCCTTGTAGACACTGACTGATGCCCTGGGAATGTTAGGATTGTGGGAACTGGCACTACCAATGACAAAGACAGACTTACTGGGAAATCAGCACCTACTCATTTTGCTCTCTCCAAACAGATAACATTCAAATTTTATTAGGGTCACAGAGACATTTGTTTTTTCTATTGATGCCATTTCTGAAAACATACACACAAAAATAAACGCAAACAGCTATGTTT